CTATTATTAATAATAATTTCGATTTTTTAAGCCACTCTGAAGTAATTCTCACAAAAAACGAAGTCGCCATTTTGTATATACATATATATATCAATATTCTGATCAGTGCTTCGATCATTATAATAACATTCATCCACTATAATAATAATATTTTTTGGATTTAATGCAGAATAAACTTATTTATTGGACAACACCTGGTTTTCTCTCCTCCTGAAGATCGGCTACAGGGTCAAAGAAAACCAAACATTTTCAAAATGAGTAAGGTAACAACATGCCTCTTCAAAAATAAAAATGAAAAAGTAACGTATGTATTTGTTCTGACTTGCAAGTGAATAAGAACCCTCAAGAGAAGCTTTTGAAATGAAAATTTTTTCTGCCAACTTGTTCAACTTTAGCACCGAGTCCGGATGGTTTAAGGTTTTTACATCGCTTTATAAACTCCATTTAGTGGTTTATTTGTTTGATTGATTCCCTTCCTTTCGAGCAGCATAAAAATTTTGTAAATTGCTATGTGTGGAGCACGTCGAAAGGCTATCGAACTTTAGAATAAATTGCTGTGCCATTGAAGGACGAAATTRTTTCTCTTTTTTCGCTTATTTATTTTTTTTAGAATTTTGTTTATTTATTTCTTAATAATGCAATTTCAATTCGAAAGGCAACAGGCAAGCGGCGTAATTCGCAAATTGAATGCGGAAGGCGCAATAAGCATATTCAAAGTAAATCATTTGTACATACATTACGACACACATGTATTATATATGTAGATATGTATGTATGTAAATATGTAAGTATGGTATATTGCCGCGGTTGGTGACTTCTCGCAGCACGCAAAAATTTGCATTGACTGCCCGTCGAGTCTGGCGCTCGTTTCTGACTCATAGACGCGCTTTTGTTGGCGCAGCTGTTGTGTCGCTGTTGCCAGTTTAGCTTCAGCTTGTTTTTGGTTGTGTTTTAGAATAAGAAACTGTATTACAGGAGCTCTTAAGTATTGTGGTACTTTATATATATAAATGGCCTTATAAGTTTTTTAAGCGGGGGTTTCAACAGGACAGGCCGAAGCTAACAGTGACACATAACTTATTAAAATTCTTTAACGATACTCAGCAGGAAATTTTTCTGTCTAAAACTATAATTACGTAGTATCTGAAGGCATTATTCAGTCATCGATAGCCCTACACACTTCATAAATCCTATAAACTGTTGGTGAAAAGAGTTGTTAGAATTTCGTATTAAAACTAAAGATTTTTTAGTATCTTTTCCCGAACTTAGCTTTTCTTTACTTGTTAAATTTGTGTTGCAATTCGACTATATTTATAAATTTAATTGATGGCAATCACCCACATGACCATTAAATGCTTAAATGTTTTTTCATGTGATTAAGTTTCTTTAAATTTTTTAAACAGGTGGCAACACTCCTAAAAGCCTACAAATAACGGAATAAATGAAACTTTAATCAACTTTTTTGGGTTTAATTTCTTATATATTATGAAAAAATTGCAATATTATTTTCCATTCTGTATGAAAAACATTATTAAATATGTGGTAACTCCTTTCGAAAAAATCTTGAAAAAAATCCCTTTAAAACTTGTTTGATGGTGTGCATACATATATTATAATTTTTTTATGTTATAAATTTTATTTAATAAGAATTTTTGAAAGATGCAACGCTGCTAAAAAATAATTCTAATTTATTTTTCTGAAATATTTACAATTATGTGATCATATGTTATTGTTACGTTTTGCATTTTTGCTTAAACTTTCATATAGGTGGCAACCCTTCTTAAAAACGATAAATTTATATTTGAAGTTATTATTACAACAGCATTATTTCTCACCAGCATTCTAATATAACTAGAGAGTGATATTCTCGACTTTTTGAGGAATCAAGTTCACAACTCAAATTCAAGCTTGATTTTTCAATTCCTCGACGTCAGAGAACCATTTGAGTTGGAGTGCTAAATTCAGAAATAGAAATTACTCTAAAGCTTGAACTAAAATTCTTTCAAAGTTTGACTGAAAATTGGTCAGGTTGCTTACAGTAATCCTGTATTTTCATAGGTTGCCATTTACGCTGGTATATAAATAAATAAATATATGTATATGTATGTATGTATATAAGTACCTCCATCTATACAGCAGTGAGTGCTGCTTAATATTTTCAACCAATTTACTGGCGATCGTGTGCGCTGTGGGTCTCCCTAGTAATTGCACTCCGACAGGAGCAACYGTTGTCGCCACAATTCCATGTCATTTCCATTCCGTTGGAATGTACATACATACATACTTTTACGATTTTATTTTTAGAGCTTATAAAATTTGTATTTCACCAAAAATAATCATTGCTCCSTAGTTTATTTTTTATTTTCACTTTTATTTAACTCAGTTGATTGTCCTCAATTTGTAGYGTTTTTATTTTGTTTAAATGCTGGGTCACAGGTTTACCGCTTTACGAAACGCCACATCGTGAAAGCGCAGCTGAGGCGAGCGTACTTTGTTGCTGACTGCGTTAATCGTAATTATTCATTATTGCTCGCTTTTATTGTCTGGCACCTTTGATCCTAGAACATGCGAAAATTTGCAAAGTTAAGATTTTTCGAAAATATATTATATTTGTAGTTATTTTTAGGTCATTTCAATTATTTCATAATTTTARTTGTCATAATGTTTGAAAAAATAAAAATTATGAAATTATTTAACTATGAAGTGAGCTCTTTTGTAGAAATAAGAACAATGAATTCAAGGAATTTCGCTATAGACTAGCCAAACGCCGTTAGTGTTAAGTTACCCGTTCCGCTCCGTTGATTCATATTGCTTCCGTTGATTTCTCATGTAGCTATTCCATAGACTGATCTGAGAACAGTTTATCTTATAACTTTCAGCCGTATGTTTAACAAGGATTTCGTGCTAGAAAATATTTACAAAAAAATGTCCAAAAATTCTAATTCTAAATAATTGTCGTCTCTTTTTGCCCTTGAAATCTTATCATAAGACATTTATGTCTTGGTTTCTCAATTCTGAATTTAATTTATGCACTTCTAAGCTTATCAGATGAAATCACTTGCTTAAAGTGCGGTTTCACAAATTCTCACATCTCTGATGCACACTTGAATCAAAGCCTGCACGTAAGGCAACCATTCTTATTTTGGTCCAATAATTGCATAATATTTAATATTAATTAATTATTTATTTTTAAACAAATTTTTAATATAATAGATGATAAATGAATCATTGGAAATATGAGATAGTAGCATAAGCCATCTTAAGTTGAGAAAGGTTAGCTTTTTATTTGGTATAAATTTGGGTTCTCTACTATCATAGGAACTCGAATAAATTGTCCCCGTAAGGATCAGTGTAAAGCATTTTGAATGATTTGGGCCTAAGAAAAGTGAAATCGCTATTGATTCCAAAAAAAAAGTAAATTTTTTCGAAAAACAGCGTCGCGTCAATGCCTGTGAAACTATCCAACAGGTCTTGGATCTATGCTTATGAAGCGGAAACAGTTGCTCAATCGACCGAGTATCGTGACAAGGTTGAGCCGAAGCCCCAAAGCCACGTCAAAGCAGGTCAAAATCAAAGTTGTGTTGACAGTTTTCTTCGATTATCGAAGTGCGGTGTACTCCGAATTCCTTCCGACCGCCTAAACTGTCAACAAAGCATATTATTTGAGTATTATGCGTCGTTTGCGCAAAGCTATTCGTAAAATGAGAGCGGAATTATTTTAGCGAACATTAAAGGTTCATATTTAATGAACATTAAAGGGGAATCGCTACGCGCATTAAAGGCTATTTCGGAAATTTACTTTAAAAACTATTTCGAGAATTGGAAAAAACGTAGGCAGCAGGAAATTTTCATGTTCATAGTAGTATGTTGATTATGCTACATATATTATTTGTTATATATACGTTTATCTGCTACTACATATGTGCTATACATATGTATGTATGTATGTACAAGGTGGTCGTACAAATAAAATTTTAATTAATAATTACATTTCCAGTTTGCCCTATTGGCAAGATTAATCTGGCATACAAACATACAAGCATACATGTATGTTTATATATATGTACATATATAAATTGTATAAAACGGCAGTCTATTCGTATATTAGAAATTGGTAGATAACGTCTAGGCACAATTTCCAAGTTCAAGTTGTATAACTCCCACATACACACATGTACACATGTTGTTCATTTGTTTGTTTGCCTGGTCGCGTGCGTGTGTGCTTGCGCGTGTGAATTTCAATGACAGCGAAAAAATTCGTTCTAGTTTTGATCCTTGACAATGAACTTGGAATTGTGACAAGTAAACAAACGACCAAACAAAAAATTATCAGCACAAATAATAATAGTGATATTTTCACACTATTTGGTGAGAACGGACACTGTGTCCATTAATAGATTAAATATAAATTGTTTAATTGTACTACTGCTTTTTGTATTTATTTATTTTTTTAGTATTTTGCAATGCGGATTTTTAGTAGAAATCTTGACTTTGATTTATTGGTTTGGCGGTCCCATGAGTATGTGTGTGATTTGTAATAATCGTATTTATTATTTTTTTTTTATATTTCTTTTGGTAAAAGCACTACGCCTACACCTCACGATAAGATAACAATGGTTTGCTCGCCGCTTTGGCTGAAGTCTCAAACTTCTAATCCTATAAAATTAAAGATTTCTCTAATCGTTTGGATAAATTTAGTGTTTTACTGATGGCAACCCTGCACAAAAATATTTTTCATTGTAAGCTTTCTTAATCCTCCTCACCACATGCTTTTTATAGCCTTGGTATATTGAGTTCTTCACGATGTTTATAGCAGGCAAAAGGAAACGTCGGAGTCCCTTTAAAGTACTTATAATTCCACTATGAAGATTTGGTAATATTAACTTCATATTTATTTTAATTAATCTATAATAATTTTGTATATTAGATAATAACTATTATTCATTTTCATTGCTAAATATATTTCAAATTTATTAAATTATTTTTTATTTTATTTACAGGTCTGCAAGTATTGGAATGTGTTGGCCTTGGATGGATCTAGTTGGCAGAAAATCAATTTGTTTGATTTTCAACGTGACATCGAGGTGAGTAAATATCGTGTAGAAACTACAATTCCAACCTAAATGTGAAATTAATTTCTATGCTTTATCGTAGGGTCCAGTTATTGAAAATATATCCCAACGATGTGGTGGCTTCTTGAAATTCCTTTCATTGCGCGGCTGTCAATCAGTTGTTGATAAATCAATAAGGTAATGAAAAAATTATTTTTATTTTATTATTTTCCACAAACTTTTTCTAATACATTTTCTATTATACTTTTACAGAACATTAGCATTTCACTGCCCAAACATAGAAAACTTGGACTTATCCGAATGCAAGAAGATCACCGATATATCGACACAGTCAATAAGCAAAAACTGTGTACGATTAGCAGCAATCAATTTGCAATCGTGCTCTAATATAACCGATGATAGTTTAAAATATATATCGGATGGTTGTCCGGTAAGTATCTGACAAAATTAGGTTTCCCATTTTGTTAAGTGCGTAATATATGCATTTAAAAGTTGATCCCGTATAAGGTTTCTCACAAAAAACATCAAATTTTATTATGAAAATTATTTCTTTCAAAAGTCTGCCGAATGACGGCGAATGAGATGTTGCGTTATGTTTTGGTCCATGGCCTGAACCGAAGCGGGATTGTTCGCATAGACTTTAGACTTTACATATCCTTACAAGAAAAAGTCTAACGGTGTGATCCACACGATCTTGGTGGCCAATCGGTCGTTCCAAAACGTGAAATTACCTGTTTACCGAAGTGTTGTTTCAATAAATCAATTGATTGATACGATGTGTGGGTAGTGGCGCCGTCTGTTGAAGCCAAATGTGCCCGAGATCAGGAGCTTCAATTTCAGGCATCAAATAGTCGGTTACCATGGCTCGGTAACGGTCTTCATTGACGATTACGTTCTTCCCGCCATCATATTTGAAGAAATATGGATCGATGGTTTCACCGTGTCACAAATTACACCGAACCGTGTTTTTTTCTGGATGAAATGGCAGCTCTTGAATCTCTTCATGTCGCTCCTCATCCCAAATGAGAAAATTTTGATTGTCCATTGAGCGAGAAATGAGAACAAAATTTGACTCGAAAACATTTGATCTTCTTGGAACTTTACAAGAGCTCATAGAGCGAAACACTGTCACTTGGGTAGGTCGAACGGCTTCAGTTCTTGCAAAAACTGTATTTTGTACGCTTTCAACTTAAGACCTTGACGTAAAATGCGCCAAGTCGTTCCATGTCAGTCCAAGTTGCTGCGAACGGCCCCTAATCGACTCTACATGGTCTTCATGTACAGTCTCAGCTACGGCTGCTATATTTTCTTCCCTGCGTGCTGGACGTAGTCTACTTGTTCGAATATTATCCAGTAATGAATTCTGAGTCTCAAGATGGGTGATGGTGTTGCGAATAGCATACTCATGTAGGCCTTATGTTGAGCGAAGCTCTCGAAACACATTCTTTACAGAACGTGAATTTTCGTAATAAAGTTACAGTTGTAAACGAAGGCTTTGTATGCGTGATTTGTCAAAAAAAATTTAAAGAAACAAAATATTAATAGCCGTTGTTATGCTTCAGAAAATATATCTTAGATAAAAGTGAAATTTAACAAGTACTTCAATTTTATTTCATCAACTCTAAAAAGCTTATACTAAAGAACTTATTCACATATGTACATATGCATGTGTCTTCTGACCAATTTTATTTCTTCGACTTCGACTTTTCATTCATAATTTACATAAATATGTACATACATTGTACTATATATGTACATAGGTTTGCATTTTATTATCGCCTTGTCTCTTATTTTCCGACAATCATTGATTAAATAATTAAATTTCGCCGTCCAAGAGTGAGAGTTAAGCCAAGCTCCCTGCTTTTTTTTGCGCTCTCTCTTTATCAATGCTAAATTTACCGTTTCAAAAACCTGCTTTTTTTTAGTATTTTCATTCAATGAGCACTTTAAACGCTCCCACATCAAACCACGATTCCCTCAACTAATGCTAAGCACTGTTAAAATTGGTTGTCAAGTAGCGTATATTACAACAACAATGGAGGACTGCATTTCTGCAATCGCTGCGAAATTTTTCACCCCTGCTGACAAGGGTATTTAAAGAGAGCGCAATGTTAGGCCTACACTAATCCGAAAAACTCATTTTAGTGTGCCAAATATTTCGCTTTTCACAAGTTTACTCTCAGAAAGACGATTTGTGTGCTCTTCTATCTTTATGCTCTCTCTCGTGAAAGCCTGCGCTCCACTCTGTTCTCTCTGTTTATGTACAAATTTGCTTGCATGTCCTTGCCCATTCAGTTTCGTAATAAACAAATAAATTCAGGCCAAGCAGAGTGCACTCACACATATACACGTGATTATATGCGTATATGCGAACACACACACTTACATAGAAGCAACTGCTCATTCATTTAAAGTTTTTTTTTCGACACTTTTAACCTCCACACGTTAGTGCTTGGCATACAAACATATATATGTATATGTATGTATATACACACACATAGTTACTTATTTGGTTATTTCACACTGTCAGCAGTGCCACTGGCTTCGTAGGCATTTCTCCAAAATGCACACACACACACGAATATGAATATTCCACTATGCTGTCACATAAGCTCTGCATTTCGCATTCTCAGACATTTGGCATACCACCGTAGGCATACATATAAAATTTTTGGCCTACTTTAAGGCGCTTTGGCTATTTTTATTTTTTCAACCCCACACTCAGCTGCTGCAGCATAACTTTTTTGCCTACACATGTATGTATATGCGTGTGTTTTGCTTTTTGTTGTTGTTGTGTGTTGCTATTTTTGGTGGTATCTCTGCCTACGCTTTCCACGCAGTGAGTTCATGTTCATGCCATGCTGCGGCATGTGCTGTCTGCATATATGCATCTACATACGTTCACTTGTAAATATTTACATATTTGCATTTGTATGGGCGTTGCATATTTTAGAATTTTTCTGGCTGTTGGTGTAGTTGTAACTTGTGGGGTTTTTAAATTCTTCTCAATATACATATATATTAGTTTTTCGACTCTTGTGGCTTACTGTCGTCTCTAATATTAGCTTAAATTATGTCAGCTTCTGTGTATGTGTGCGTGTCAGATTAGCGTAAATATGTAGAATGAGTTCTGGATTGGTCGTGTTCTATATTAAGAAAATTATTTTTTTTTTATTTTATTAATAGGCATGACTCGATTATATGTGACTAAACTCTACTGATTTATAAGAGAAAAAATCATCTTTACATAAATATGTATAAGTATGTTGTGTAGAAATGAGCACGGCGAGCTTAATCCTTTTTTTTACAAAGAGGTATCATTCTATTGCTTGGACTTATAAACTTATTTCTCATGTTTTGCATATTGTCTCGGAGAGGTCCTTCTTCACCCTGACCGAACTTTTGGTATTGCTCAACGTCAATTTACACAGCCGTATTAGTTTTGCGGGGATACCAAATTCAAACATGGCACCATAAAGGCAGCCCCTTTTCGTACTGTCAAAAGCATCTTTGAAATCGACAAAGAGGTGGTGGGTGTTGACCCTCTTTTCACGGGTAATGTTTTTTATGTGGCGGGTCCCAAACCTAGCGCACAACCATGGCATGGTTCGCTTTCTCACTTTAGCTTGCCTTCAAAAGAATATTTTTTGGCTATCCAGACGATACTCGGCTTAAGACCGGAAGTCGTAAGCTGCTAGAGTCACAAGTAATGACATGATATACTGATTAACTCTTAAAGTTGAAGCCACTGACTACGAATTTCGGTAGTAAATTTTAATAATTTCTATTCGCTGTTGGATAACTTCTTTTCTAAGGTATTCAATTAAAATGATTCCGTGCGCATCCCAAAATACAGACGCCATAACCTTGCTCAGCCGATTCTTGCGTTTTGCTACGCTTTGGAGCCGGTTCGTCCTGTGCAATCCACTCGGGTGACTGTAGATTGTACTTCAAAGTGAAATGATGGGGTCATGTTTGATCGATTGTCACATAAAGAAGCAAAATCTCGGAATTTCTTACGCTTATACATCTCCAAATACTGCTCCGAATTATAAACTCGTCGTTTCATACTTTTATACGCGTCCTTAGAAGGTTACGGCTGACTAAAAATTAATTTAATTCTATTGCGCGTTATTTGAGGGACATTTTGAGCGTTGTCTGATGGACGTAGCTACGGTCCGAGCGGCTTCAGTTCTTGCACAAGCTATATTTTGCTCTCTTTCAATTTAAGATCTCGACGTAAAATGCGAAAAGTCGTTCCATACGTCAGTCCGACTTGCACGCAGCCCACAAAACACATTCTTTAYAGAACGTGAATTTTCGTAATAAAGTTGAACGATTTGTTAGCGTTGTTCAGACGTAAGTATTTCCCGCATAAAATGCCAGGCAGTACTAAAAAAAAATAACATGACAGCTTGATACGATTCGTGCTTGACACGTGTGTCCTGCATGCGACGAGTCTCCGCATGACACTGRCCACCTCTTTGCATGCCCATCTAGCACCCTTTTCCCTTTGATCCGACCCCATCGAAACAGCACATTTCCTGGGCCTCCCGTTAGATGACGGGGACGACAACACTGATGACCCTCACCATCCCAACGGGGACTGATAACCGTTATAACAACCACATTCGTGCTTGAATTGTAAAAAAAGGCTACTGAAAAAAGGAACTTTACTTGGTTCACCCGTTAGTATGTGATCTAAATCGCATGAAATCGGATAGTATCGGATAAGTATGTTATTCTGGCTTATTCTTCTGAGTTTCGATTTTGTATTTTTTAAGATTTTTTTCAAATTTTTTTAGTTAAGCGAATTTGAATAAATTTGTGTATTATTACTGTATATAGAATTTAGAGAAATCGTATATGTACAATATTTGATTGAAACTCTACCAAATGGCCTTGCACATGCAACCATGCGGCCAGAGCGATTTTTATGTAGCGCATGCATTCATTCATACATCTATACATATGTGTAGGAGTTATATATTATATAATGCTGTTCTCATTGCATTGGCCCACTTTTCAGCTGCAGTACATAGATGCATACATACATTTCAGTGAATGTTGGTTATATACTTTTATTTAGTTCAATAAAAAGTACCCAAAAAATAGAATATAGATCTATATAAGCGGGTGTAAGTTATATATATAATATATATGAAAATACATAAATATATAAATGCACATTTAATGCTTATATAAAGAGTAGTTCAGTGTTAATATTGTGGATAAATAAAAAAATTTGGAAAGTAGTATATGTAGTATTATACGATATAAAGTGTAATATATAGTAAAATTATTTTTTTTTTTGTTTTGCAATTTTGAATCAAAAATATTCAATATATTATATCCGGGTGATAATAATAAAATTAAAATATTTTAAAATTATGAACAACCAGTCAGTTTCCAATAAATGGTGAGCAACAT